ATGGTCCGAGTGGTGTTGGGTTATAGATGTTGACAGCTCCTTTTTTAGGGGACTGGGATCAATAAAATGCTGCTGTCTCAGACAAGCACCTTGGCAATTTGACACAATCACAAGCCCTACTAAGTTACTCAAACAAACCTACAACCTAATTCTTATTTTATGTCTGGGATGGTCCAATCTGGTTTGATTTTTATGTCAGGTTTTATCATTAGGCTATTGATTATGATTAAAATTCTAACCTGTGAACTGACGATGTTTTATCTCGGCGGAGTAAAGTAATTATGTTTATACATTCTAATTCGAATTTGACTTTTACAAATTATTTTTTCTTAACAACTAAGGCCATCTTCAACCGAGGACTGGGCAGAGGGCTCGTTTTAGCCCTTTCACTCTTCAAGAAATTAATATTTTAATGAACAGTACAGGGTCATATTTACCTCTGTCACCAATCGAGGGCCATAGGGCTCGTTTTAGTCCTGTCACAAAAAACCGTCTCCAACCGAGGGCCAAAGGGCCAACCATAATTTATTATTTAAATTTAAAAACTACAACAACTTAAATTCAAATCCAACAACTTAAATTTAAAAACTACAACAATAACTGGTCCAAAAAACCAAAAAAATTAGAACTTAAATTTAATGAATGGTTTAGGTATTTATAGGGAAAAAAAAATTAGAATTTTTAAGAATTAAAAAAAAAAAAAATTTGAATACAACGGCTAGCTAGCAATCCTGTTGATTATAACCGACATGATTGTTCTATTTTCTGCAGCCAGTCAGCCCTCCTGTGACATCCCACATCGCCCAGGGGAGTGATCCTTAAATGTATATTCCCATCCCTACCTAGCACGAGGCCTTTTGGGAGCTCACTGGCTTCGGGTTCCGTAGGAACTCCGAAGTTAAGCGAGAAGGGGGCTAGAGCAATCCCATGATGGGTGACCCACTGGGAAGTTGCTCGTGAGTTCCCAAAAACAAAACGTGAGGGAATGGTAAGCCCAAAGTGGACAATATCGTGCTACGGTGGTGGAGCGGGCCCGGGAAGTGATCCGCCCCGGGCCGGGATGTGACAATTTGGTATCAGAGCCTAACCCTGGCCGTGGTGTGCCGACGAGGACGTCGGGCCCCTAAGGGGGGTGGATTGTGACATCCCACATCGCCCAGGGGAGTGATCCTTAAATGTATATTCTCATCCCTACCTAGCACGAGGCCTTTTGGGAGCTCACTGGCTTCGGGTTCCGTAGGAACTCCGAAGTTAAGCGAGAAGGGGGCTAGAGCAATCCCATGATGGGTGACCCACTGGGAAGTTGCTCGTGAGTTCCCAAAAACAAAACCGTGAGGGAATGGTAAGCCCAAAGCGGACAATATCGTGCTACGGTGGTGGAGCGGGGCCGGGAAGTGATCCACCCCAGGCCGGGATGTGACACCTCCAGCCCTCTAGCCCTCTCCAATTCCATGGGGCCCTCTTAGATTCCATAGCCCTCTGGCCTAGCCCTCGGTTGGAGACGGTTTTCGAGCTATTTTCGGCTCTCTAACCCTTTGGACCCTTCGGTTGGAGATGACCTAACTATATTAATATTACTTACTAATATTATTGCTCTACTAAAAAATGTCTAAAATGTGATGTTTAGTAATTCAAGTTTGCATCGTAAACTATCGTGCAAATTTTTATTTTGATAACCAAAATAGAATTAAGAAAAACCTTTGCATAGGTTTCCACCTCAATTTGATGGGAAATTTTAGAGAACGGAGAAGAAGACGCAGGACATTAAATATTAGAATTTAAACTCATTTATAAGTGATAAATAATATAATGAGTATCACTATTATTTAAGGGTACAACAAAAATATTTCAATTATTATTCAATATTTGTCATAAACTAATACGATTTTCAAATTTTCAAAATATGTGGAACTAAGATGTGTATTTAAGCATGGAAAATAGTTTCGCTCAATACCCTCAAGTAAAAGTGGTGCTCCTTATCTTATTTATTATTGTTGAATGAATTTAATTTCGAAAACTGTGTAGTGTATAGATACAAATATCAAAATTCAAAATCATACAACGATACGAGTAGGGTGTTAAGCATTACGACAACTTGAGGATGGTAAACAAAAATGCACCCTCAAACGAGTTCAAATCTTCTGTACGCATTTTGTACGTAGCCTCTCTGTGACCTCTATAATTAATTGACACATGTTTATAAACTTACCACTTCTTAATTTTGTTGTAATAAGTTCAACACCTATCAATCACTGACAGATACCAGAGATGTGGCCACACAAAATAGGAGCCAAAAATTAAAAATCCCCTTAAGCCTACGTATGCTTATTTGCAAATGGGTCATGAGGGTTGGGCCCAATAATTGCATTAATAAGAGAAAATGAAGTCCATAATGCAAATGACGACCAAAGCTCTAAGCCGAAACCAGTTTCCATCCCAAGACTTTATTCAAAGTTACATTTGCAGCTCGCAGCAGAGGAAGCTCCCCCAACAATGGCGACCCCCAAAAAAGACATACCGCCAAAGAAAACCAAAGAAGTAAAGAAGCCGAGCACCAAATCCCCGCTGCCGAAGAAAACCCAGCAAACAAAGAAGCCGACCACGGCCAAGGCAAAAACCCCTGAGAAAAAGAAGCCGAGCAGCGCCAAGAAATCCACCAACATAAACAAGATCACCAGCAACGGAAATGCGAGAGAATCCGACGTCGAGGCGGTTCCGTCGCCGAGGTCCGAGTCCCGGAGAGGCGCAGAGCAGAACGGGGGTAAAATTACGAAAACGCCCACCACGAAGTCGAAGAAGGGCAAGGAGAAAGGAAAGCGAAAGCGAGAGGGGGAGGTCGCAGATGAAGAGGAGGTGAAGGCGTATACTTTTCCGATGGAACGTGTGAGGAGGATTATCAGAAGCGAGGATCCGGATTTGCGGATTAGCAACGACGCCGTTTTCCTGATCAACAAAGCCACCGTAACTTTCTGACTTCTCTCTCAATTTCCGAATTAGGGTTTTCATTTTTTTTTTAATTAATTTTTCGAATTTGGGATTGCAGGAGAAGTTTCTGGAGAAGTTCTGTGAAGAATCACATGCGTGCTGTGTTAAGGACCGGAGGAAGGCTATTGCTTACAAGCACCTAGGTAATTTTCTCCTCCTCACTATGAATGTATTATTTATTTATTGGATTTTAATTAGATATTTGAATTTTCATTTTTTATTTCGTCTGTGATTACTGCATTGTTATGAGTACTGAACATTTTGATCAAATGGGTGTTTGAAATGATCGAAATTTTCTCAAATGTTATACTGCTATAGCGTTCTTATGGTTCGGCTTCGAGATTTGAGGTATTTTTTACATGCTTTGTTCAAAATCGAAATGGAGTTAGCATTTCGATTTCCTCATGAAATGGAGAGGTCCCGTTGGTGAATGCTCTCATTGTGTGATGTAAATTGTACCGTCAATCATGTTTATATAGCAGTTAGGAAGTGCAACCATAGAACTCCTCTGGGTAGGATTGGAGAGTCTTGTTCAAAATGACCTCTGACTTGTTATGTACATGGTTGCCATCAGTTTATGTGCATTGGGTAATTGGATTTAGTTATGAACAGAATGTAGCCGTCGTTGCTAGAGTTATGTTGTATTTCTCTGGCATGTTGATGAAATTGTGCTTACAACAAAAGCCTACCAATATGTATTGTTAAGAGGAACAAGGTTTTGGTTTGGATTGTCCAATGTCAAACAAATATTTGACAATATGAAAACTTCGAGTGCAGAAGATTTTGTTACGAGTTAAGAACCACCATTTTGATTTTCCTTTGTGTTTGAAAAAGGCCTCTAGCTGCCCTGCTGAAAACGTTTTTCGTTTTAGATTTCTAGACAGATGATTTTCTCGTCACAGTTACTAGAAACTGGATTTCTAAACTTTGCTTACGGCGCCTCTTTCTAACGCAGTCAACAGGGGATTGCTAATTCTTGAAACATTAGTATTACTGTATCAGGGTTTTTTCGGAAGTAGAAGACATCGTAGTTGGTTATGGCAAGTTACATTAGTTTCCAGTCATATTAACGTGCTTTCTTCTTGTTTCAGCCACAGTTGTTTCTAAACGAAAGAGATACGACTTCCTTTCAGGTATCTTTTATGCTTGCACTCAATCCTCCTCCTAATTAAAAATATGACTTTTGGTCTACCATCATTTATGCTGTCTAATGCACAATCGTTAACAGATTACGTTCCGGAGAAGGTAAAAGCTGAGGATGCATTGGCAAAGAGAAAATTAGCCGAAGCAAAAGCAGGGTAGGAGTTCCAGAACATACTAAATGGAGACCACTAGGAAATTTGCAACCTTGTACTATTGTACAATGTATTGGATGCACTTGTTCTTCATCCACTTTTGCAAGTGCACATAACATACATGAACTTAGTTCATGGTATTTTGGAAGATCATAATTTTTCCCGACGATGAAAAATTCGGCGTTATGGGTACATTAGATGGTAGGTCAGCTGGTGAAGTGTGCGAGTGAAGTCGTAGTCTCGCTGTCGATGCGTAGCTATAGCTGTTTTTCTGTAATATTTTCAGAAATCTTACGAGAAACGTGTAAGATTCATGCCAGGGTACTTGTCCTGCCAACAGTGTACAAGATGTTCTATCCTTTTCATTGTCGTGTTTTTACTTAAGCACGATCCTTCATCCCCCGTTTCTCCCATATATTTTTCTCTCTTTACAAAATATGAAAAGGTTTTTTAGCCAAAATGGTCATTGAGATTGTTTAAAACCGATAGAAGTAGTTTCCGAGATTGTCCATGGGCAATCATTTTGATCATTCTATGAGAAATCCTTGTTAAATTCAAGAAACCAGTTCAAGGGATTTTGACGAAAATACCCTTAATTCAATAGAGTTTTGTCATGACCATAATGATTGACTGTAGGCAATCTTAGAGACCAAAGTACCGATTATGCAATTTCGAGAACCATTTTGGCTAAAACGCCATAGGAAAATTATACAGCTCCTGTTAAACACCATAGAAAACTTTCATTTATACGAATCACATCCGAATTACATACCGATGCTAGTTTTAAAGCGAAACACTCGAACACCATCGCAGGCAACTCCGATATCGCTTTTATTCTGGCCATGGTGACCATTACAAGAATACAGATTATCTGAAGTATTTATAACTTGAAAGGAAAACGAAAAGATTTTGCCTCTGCAGATGCAAAACAATGGGTATTTGTACATGTATTGTCCTATAGAAAAGCAGTCAACAGCAAGTGAATATTGTGAGTTGTAAGTTGTAAACCTACCTTTGCAAAAACCTAAACGCAATACAATTATGCCCTGTGCATCTCTCTCTACCCCTCTTTCCGCGCTTCTTATCTAAAAGCAAACGTCGTTTGTCACCGTTGAGCTAGATCATAGCCATCAACTGAAACAACTCAATGAACTGGTATGCTACGTATGGCAATCTGAAGGAACCAAGTTGCTGGAAGCGGCATAATTACAGATTCAAACGGCAAATCAGCACTACGGAAGGTACCCCAATCGACTGCTTTTCGATATTTCCTTGAAATTAAAAGCACCACCTTTGCCTGTCAGTGGCTTGCTTTTTGCCGGTTCTGTGTAACCTTTGCCTGTGAGGAGTTGGTCCTTCGGACTAGCACCTAGCAGGGCTTCTGCGTTTATTTTAGTTTCAGGCTCACCGGGTCTCATCCAAATTTTCACATGCCCCTCCCAAGACGCGGTGAGAATAGCATCCTCTGTGAAAAGTAATCCGGATAGGGGCTCAGAATGAACGCAGTGGGACACCAGTGGGGAGAGCTTTGGAATGTCCCGCATGCTGGGAGCAGGTTGAAGAGTGCCAATGGGGTAAACGCTGTCCCAATGGGATGACTGGCTACCTGTGCTGAATGTTGGAGATCCACCAAGTGAACTTCGGCGAAGTGGCACTACAATCTCATCCATTGGCAGGTCCCATAGGAGCAATTTTGTGTCCTGTAAACACATGTATGAGAGGTGGAAGTAGAAAGACAAGCAAAGTAGATTGAAAAAAGAGAGCACAACAAAAGCAGAAAATGATTTCATGGCCTATTTTAGGTTCATAAAAGTAAATCATGTCCCAATTTCTTTCTTTGAAAATCCCGCACCTGGATATTAGATTCTTTATTTGGACTTAAGCAATTGTCTCCATAAAAAAACGAAACAAAAAATTGGACAGTTACAAGTAATTTGATACTAACCAGCACGAGCAAAAGTTTAAAAGAATATGTAGTTTAGCTGTTTGATGGGGAGGGAATTTGATTGATAAAGATATTATAAGCTGATAAAGATAAGCCCTTGTCGACAGAGAAAAAAGAAGGTAAACATAAGCCCTCAACTGATATTATCCTTAAACATATTAAGCATGGCATATCATCTCAGTGTTTACTTTAGGCAAGGATGAGAAGAGGAGAGCAAATACCTGACCCACAGAACCAAAACGGTAAACAATATTTTCTTCCGTGTCATCTGAACTTGGTGGTGACCAATATGAATCAAAAGCAACACCACTGACCTGCATACATCAGGGCTGAAAGGTGTAAGATGTCGAGTTTTTGACAAATCAACAAGAGGGGGAGAGAGAGAGAGAACTCAATAAACATTCGCAAAAGTTCTGCTGAAACTGTACCCATGAGTTGTGCCCTTCACCCCAAGCTACTACTTTTCTATCTTCCATGCTCCACACGGTAACAAGATCCTCTTCCCCTCCTGTCAAAATGTATTTCCCATCCGGACTGAGAAACAACACATCATGAAGGTCAAATATGAACATCATAATGATACAACACATTCAGTCTGACGAAAATTCATATGAACATGTCATGTGGAACGCAAGTATAACTTTCTGGATATACTAATGACAGGACTTCGGCCAGTATAATTCATGCATCAAGGAAAAAATATATTTTTATCTTTTTACCTCCACGCGCAACACAGAAGACCACCATAATAACTCTTGCCACCGAATACTAGTTGTTCTTTTGAGTAGTCAAATACTCGCAAATAGCCTACATGTAGCACCTAATATCAGTACCAATTAACAGATGCACTCATCCACAAAGTCACAAGCCTAACAGATTGAGAAATACCATCTCTACCGACGGTTGCCAAATTTGCCCCATCTGCTGAGTAAACAATGCTGTTTATTGAACCTTGGCAAATACGCCATCTGGAAATTGGATTACTCTGCAGATAAACCATCAAATGAAAAAGTGGGGAAAAAGAAACCTGAAGGATGATGGTAAACAGTTCTATATCTGGTTCTTGTATAAGCTTGAGGAAATAACAAAAGTTCCAACTATCAGCCAAACTTCATAACCTATATGGCAGTATTGCAGCAGCTAACACAAAAATATGGAAAATGTAGGCCAATAGGCAGTGGCGGTAATGATATTATTTGAACTTGGTTATAATAGTATGTACTTTAAAAGCCAATCTTTTGAATAAGCAGACAATTACGTATAATAATGCTTTACTTAACATGCAAAGAAATTTTATACATTGATATTACCTTATTGGATCTTGCATGAGCCACCGAAAATTGAGTATGATCCTTTATAGCTGGGAAAGAAGAATCACCAGCACTTTCCTTACTCTAAAATAAATTAACGCTGATTTCAGTTCATGGAGTAAGGAAAACAGGAAAACCAGGAAAGGATAAATAGCATTTGACATACGAAAAATTAAAGCTTAAGGCTTGCCTTCTCATAGACATACAAATTTCCATCAGCATGAGCAGCAACAAAGGTACTATTCCCTTTAGGAACCCACGCAATGCTGGTACACCGGCTGTTAAAACCAACTAGTTAGTTTGTGTATGAAGACTTGTAATCATAGGACTTGTGCCCCCAATTACACCAAAACAGATACCACAAAGAACATTCAAATAGCACATTCAATGAGAAAATAAATGCACTCTTCCCCCACCCCCGACAATGCATTTGGGTCTGTTGCTTCCAAATGTTATAACCTTTCCAAGCTGATAGCTAGAGTGATTACAATTTATTACATTAGCAAACTGTATTTGACACATGTACTTCTAGGGTAAAAAGCCGGAAATGACAGATCACCAAAAATAGGATTTTTCCTGGATAAGGAACTCTCAGCTCTACTTATGCAACAAGTGCTAGTTTGTTTATCTACCTTATGCCAAACGTACTTCTTGACCCACCAATTTCTCCGTAACACTATCAGGATTATATGCACACCATTAGTGATAATGTGCATTCCCGATACCTTTTTTCATCAACAAACTCATGAAATATAAGGAAATAAGGCAAAGTTGGGCAACAAACTTGCCTGCTAGTGACAGCACCTTCTTTGTTATAGTGATGGGCACCAACAAGCTTCTTTCCAGAATCTTGCAATTGCTGCCTCAAAGACGCGGAATAAACTACAACAACAAACAAAGTAAACAAGTCACACACAGCCTCATCATCACCAAAACCCCATTAAATCACATAGAAACAAAACTCCTTACTATCTCCAGAGCTCAATCCAATAAGCAAGTCATGCCCGTCCTTGGCCTCGGAATCAAAAGCATGGCACACCGGATTCGAATTGCTAAAATGCAATGACTTAATAGGATCCTACAAGCAAATTCCCCAAAACCCTTTACACAAATTTCCCCAAAACAAAACCCCAATTATCCAAACTCCACAAAAAAACCGATGCAACCCCAAGAAAACTGAAAATTACCTTATCAGGCGAATTGAGATCACTGATATAAACAGTATCCCCAACATTGAAAACCATAAACGACCCTTTACCGCCGAGATTCGAGTTAACAGCGTGGTGGGTCCCATTCGACCCGCCGAAATGAGCATACCTGCTACTCCCATTGCTGGTTCTGCTATATCCACTCCCTCCCACAAAGTTCAGAGCTTTGCCCCCGCTTCCTCCCAACAGCCTCGCCGCCGCCGACCGCATCCCGGTGGTGCTGAAACTCGGCGTCAGCGTAGGCTGGCTGCTAGGCTTGTCCTTAAGCTGCGCTACCGTCACCTAAAATTCACAACCAAACACTGACTAACTCCGAGTCAACAGAGACAGCAACAACATAACTAACACAACCGATTAATTAGGGCCTCGTTTCGCTTAATCCTACATTAAATTAAATTAATTTCGTTTTTTTTTTTTTGGGTACCTGAGAAATTGACTTGGCGTACGAGTAGGGGAGGAGGTTGGGCGGCCGAGTCTTCTCCGAGTGAAGTTTGTATCGGCCTTCTGGGGTTTTAAAATACGCCTTTATCAGAGATTGGGTCTGGGAATTTGTTGTGCCAGAAGAAGAAGACGACGTCGTTTGGGGCGTCGCCGTCGTTGACGATGATGCCGACGGCATCGGGCTCAGGCAGTTTTTGTTGTTGGTGTACCCGTTGTTGAACATCGTCGTTGAAATTAAGGGAATCACAGCCACCGACTGACAGAGAGAGACAACATCGTAGAGTGTTCTTTTTAACTGGTTTTTGTTCTGCTTTTTGGTGAGGCGCGATCAGGTGGTGCGCGGGGTGTGGGTGTCTCCGATGAGGATGGGAAAGTAATCGAATGAAAGTGTGGTTTTTGTTTGGGGTGTTTGGAGCATAGTTGACTTTGGGGTTTGGACTTTTCGGAAAGGAGATGGAGATGGAGATCGTCGGTATCTGGGACGGTGAGGGATATTCCACGTGTTGGCTGGCTGTGAATTTGGAGGAAATTTAAAAAAAAAAAATGAAAGCATAATGCGAGATTTGTAATCAATAAGACGTAGTTGGTGCTAATTAAATTGTTATTTATTAACATAATTATTTAATAACACATCATATGATTTACAAATGTGATTTAATATTTGATTTACTTAACAATTATTATGACGGTTGTTGATAATTGAATTGTTACTAATGTATTTATTAACGTAATTATTTAATGATACATCATATGATTTACAAATATGATTTAAAAATTGATTTTCCTAGCAACTACCTAAACTCGTAAATTACCAATAAAACAATGTTTATCCTCCCCATCTTTAAGATCCAATGAGAATTCAAAGCGGAGTGTTGGAGTTGGTGGATACCATCATACCTCTTCCAATTCACTCTTTGATTCTCTCTCTACCAGTGTGTTTAACATGTAAACATTGGATTATTAAGCTAGGCACAAACACAACCCATTTATAATTCTTATGTAGAAATTGTGCCATATTCGTGGTCGTGTCAAAAAATAAATTACACAACTGCTAACTTCTTGAGTTTGAACTGTATTATGATATCGTATCAAAATTATCACTTCAAAATATTCTTGGGAAATTTGAAAAAATAACCAAAATTTGGACCCATATAGAATTATAGTCATCCTTTTAATTTTATTATAATTAAAACCAAAAGTTGACATAAAAATACTAATATACCCTTTTAACAATGAGGCAAGCAATTACGCCCACCATTGCAAAGATTAGAGTTGTAACCACAAAACTCGTTTTGGTGTTATATGATTCCAACACCTTTTCTTCCGGAAATCAACTCCACAAACAGTTGATCTATAAAAAGCACAATCCTTTTCCATAAATCTTGTTACAGATCAGAGCCCAATTTGATTTTAACGTGTACTTTAATCTAATTTGATATTCAACAAAGAGAAATGCAAGAGGGAAAGAAAGGGAGAGAGCTTACTGCTTAGTGGTTACCTTGAATAAATGATATGATTGTCTTCGAAAAACAAATTGTAACGTTGCGTGAGGCTCCAACCTCTGGGTTTTGCTGGGATGGGAAGAAGATGACAAAGATTGAGATTTTTGAAAAATTTAGAAAAGTAACTGTTAATAACAGATGGAAAAATAACCAAGAACTTAATAAAACTTCTCATCAGAAAATTGGCTGAACTTTTGAGCTTTTTGAGAGGGCTAGAATTGTCTTGGTTGCTGAAGTGAGGCTTTGAGTTTCTTTGGATTTGTTTTGTAAAAAGTTTAAATCATAAGGTGTATTAGTACTTTTATATTAGATTTTGGTTATAATTATCATAAATTTAAAAGGGTGGACATAATCTATATAGAGTTCTAATTTTGATTATTTTTCCAAATTTCCCAATATTATTTCAATTGAAGATGATGTTTTATCGCAATAACAGAAATTAATCATGTTTATACACCATGGTGTCTAATAAAAAGGTATGTCCTTTTAATTTTGATTTGCATTTGCTATTTGGGTCGGCTTAGCTCTAGGTGGGTTTCTAATATGGGCTAATACTTGTGATAGACGTTTAACTGGTCTTGTAAGATCCATTACCATTCAAGGTGTGGGAGGACAAATGAATGGGCTGTTCCCTCCTTGGGCTGAGGCAAGAGTCCCGCCTATTTTGCATTGGGCTCATGAGAGGTATGGCCTAAAAAGGTTGAAATGTCATTGTGAATCTTTTCGTTCTCAGAAAGTTGAATTGTCATGACAAAGTCACCAACTAATCTTCTTTTTAGGAAAACGTGAGCCAAATTTTGCATTGGGCTCATGAGAGGTATGGCCAAGGGAGGTTGAAATGTCACTGTGAATCTTTCGTCCTCAGAAATGTGAACTGTCGTGACGAAACCACTAGCTAATCCTTTTTTAAGGAAAATAAGAAAAGAAAAGAAAAAAACGTGAGCCAAATTTTGCATTGGGCTACAACCTAGGGCAGCCCTACCATGATTCTGCCGAGTACTTGAAAGAACTGTACGATGCATTTTCCCTTTAATTTAGTTTGTTTTTCTATCCAAAAAAAAAAAAAAGAGTTGAGTTTCTGTATGAGTATCCAAAAAGTCATAGATGAAAGTTTTGACGTAATGCGGCCTTGGCCGTAGTAAAGGTGGCTAAGACAGTGTCTCCCCTTCTTCACCTATTTTGAAATCTGGCAAATTTTATATATCAAGTTGGCGTTAGGTTTTAAGGAACTATATCATGCTTACTTCTTTTAGGATAGGTCACAAACTTAGTTGCAAGATGAGCATAGTAACAAATAAAAGATAGGGAAGAGTACCATATTGTCCTCAAGCTTACTTCTTGTAGGATTTTTTTATTTAATTTTTTTGAACAAACAATATTATCTACATTAAGAAGAAGTGGGGCAGGCTTAACTGTACAATGGGTTAAGCAATAATAATATAGTTCAAATACTCTTTTGGCGAGAATCGAACTTAAGACATTTCACTTACAAATGAAGAGGAATACCACTAGACGGTAGTATTAAGTGACACTTGTTTAAGAATGTTAGAGATTGGGGTTGACTTTCCAATTTCAGGGAATTAGAAGGTCCGTAAAGGTCTGGGGTTTGTCATTTTGAGTTTAGAGTTTTACAATGTCATCTGGAAGGTTAATGGCTTATACAGCCTCTTGATGGTTGGGTTGGGCATTTTTATAATTTTAACTGACAAATTAGTTCGACTTTTCATTTAATAACTAAACTTAAAAAATGAAATTTTAATTGAAATTATTTTGTTGGTATACAAACTTAAAGGTCCCAAATCCCCTCCCCATTCCCCCATATTCAAAATCAAATTAGGCTACCGCTCGAATAAAAAAAAAAAGATTTTGACTTTTAGTATTTATTTAACTTTATATATCTAAAGTTATGATGTAATATAAAAAATAGTAGCTGCTTCAATGAAACACATAGAAATGAAATTTCAGAATCACAATGGCTAATGTCAACTGATAGATGTAGAGGTAAGGCCCCATCACCCAAAGAGAAAATAACAAGAAAACTTTAAGAAAGCAAATGGAAAGCAATAAGATTTGTGAAGGTGACCTACTTGGAGCAATCATCAGCAGATCAGCAGATAGCAAGGGAGTTTTCATCCATGAGTATGAGGTTGGCCCATAGGGATTTCACAACTTGCATATCGTCATCAATCATCGTCATGCTCCTTCTGAGAAAGTAAAAAGCCATACTTCTTCCTTTTGATTTTGCGGCTTGCAGTGCAGTGCATGCATACATAAGTGAAAACAAAGCAATCATGCACTTACTAACCAGCTTTATTTGCCCACACCCACTTGATTTTCCCTCTGGTTTTTTTCTTCTTTCCCAAGCAAACCAGTAGCTCTGACACCATAATCTCACAATACATGCATATCCTCTCCCTCTCAAGAAAATAAGACATGCCCTCTCTCACCTAATACCTCCTCTCCGACCACTTATATAAACGCTCTCTTTTTCTCCAAACTCATATCAGACATTTGTGCGCAAAATATCAAACACATCCCACCACACTTAAATATGATGAAGCAACAATATCAGCCTCTCTTCTTACTCACACTCCTACTTATCTTCCTCTCCCATTGCACCAAAACCCTAGCCCAAGGCCCTGCTGCTGCCCCGGCAATCACCAGCCCGGTGGCCGTTCCGGTACCACCAGCCAGCGCCCCGGCACTAACCAGCCCGGCGGCCATTCCGGCACCACCGGCCAACGCCCCAGCGCCACCAGGCCCAACCAACGTCACCAAAATCCTTGAAAAGGCAGGAGGCTTCAACGTCTTAATCCGCCTTCTAAAAACCACCCAAGTCGATAACCAGCTTTACGGCCAGCTCAACAAATCCAGCACTGAATTTACACTTTTAGCCCCGTCCGACAGCGCCTTCTCTAAACTCAAAGGTGGATCCATGAACTCCCTCAGCGTTGAACAAAAAGTCAAGCTCTTGCAATTCCATCTAATCCCAGATTACCTCACTACCCAAAACTTCCAAACTGTGAGCAATCCGGTGAGAACCCAAGTCGGAGACGGTTCCGAGTACCCGCTAAACATCACCACATCAGGCAAGACAGTGAACATTTCAACTGGCCTTGTCAACACTTCAATCTCAGACACTGTCTACTCTGATGGTCAATTGGCTATTTACCAAGTTGAAAGTGTGCTCCAACCCTATGGTATTTTTGCTCCCAAGCTTCGGCTGCCGTCACCGGCATCCGCTCCTGGAGAAGAAGAGCCTAAGGAGGAGCCTTCTCTTGACCCTGTTGCTGAAGTGAAGTCTGGTGCTGTGCCTACAATGAATATCCCCAAGATTAATGGCATTGTCTCTATTGGAGTTGCATTATTAGCTGCTGCAGCTATAAACTTTTTGTGACGAACTGGCTGGCTGTGAATTTGGAGGAAATCAAAGAAATAAAAAGCATAATGCTTGGGAGACCATATGTTTAAACTATATTTTGTGAATTATATGACGTTATTGGAGTGTTGATTAAAATCTTTATTTCTTATTAGTAACACATTACATAATTTACAAAATTTGATCTAAATTTTTTATCTACGTAGCATTAGCTAAACTCGTAAATTACCAGCAAAACAATGCTTATCCTCCCCATCTTCAAGATCAAACGAAAATTCAAGGCGGAGTGTTATAACTTAAAAATGTATGAGTTGGTGGATGATCATAATAACTCTTCCAGTAAAGATGAATACTATTAGGTCGTAGTACTAAATGACTCATACAAGGTAATACTAATTATATCAAAACATATGAATATATGAAATAAAAACGAAGGTCAAATTCTGAAACAAAAAAAAAAAAAGTTAAAAATAAAAAAAAAACCAAAAGAAAACGTGAGCCAAAATTTGCATTGGACTAAGTTGAGTTAAGTTTCTGTGTGAGTACCCAAAAATTCATATGAAAATTTTGACTTAATGCAACCTTAGCCATAGTAAAGGTGGATAAGACAGTGTGTCTCTCCCTCTTCACCTATTTTGAAATCAGGTGAATTTACATATCAAGTTGGAGTTAGGTTTTAAGGAAATATATCATGCTTTACGGAAAAATACGATGTCACTTAGTGTTACGGTCTAATGATATCTTTCTTCACTTGTAAGACTAAGTCCAACAGTTGAGGCTTTTTAGCCCATAAAATTTAGATTCTCATTTAGAAACAGCTTTTATCTACTAATGGTTTGGCTTCAAATGTTAGCCCGAGACTATTAAAGAATGGTTTTAGCCTACTATTTTTGGGTAAGTTTTTTAAAATAAAATTTATGTAGATTCTTCAAAGTTATTCTATGAACATTTTAACATAAAATATTTAAATTCCAAAATAATGAAAAATCATTAAACCTACTTCATTCTTACACATATGCACCACATGAAAGAACATAGAAAACCACACAATACCCCATTCTTAAACACAATTACTTAGGTGGGTAGAAAGAAAAAAAGGAAGAACTGTATGACGAAACAGAAATTTGTGTGGATTTTTTAACAAATACATAGGTATTATTGAGTTTTTGGGTGAATTTTGATTTAAATAATTTTACAAGTTGTTTTAGCCGTTGGATTTAATTTTGGGCCGTTAGATATTTTTTTCTTTTACCATTAGATTTGCTCATATTCGATCTTAGTCTTTGGATACTATTATTTTTTAAATAAATTTTGAATTTGGACCGTTGGATTAACCAACAATCCAACGACGTGGGCCGTCCAATAAAAATAATGCAGTTGGTCTTTTTGCAAGTGGTTGAGAGCATCTGAGTCCAGCCATTATCATTGGTTCATTTTATGGGAGAAATTTGCCCCAAAAATAAGTTTTAGCCCAAATTTTTTTTAGCCCAATGTTGGAGAAGGTTTTTTTTTGTTTTTTTTTGTTGGGGTGGGGGGGGGGGGGTGGCAAAAGACGGCTACAGGTGTTTTAAAACTCAAATTTTGAGTTATGACTCAACCACTGGAGTTGGTCTAAGTGAGAGGTTTTAAGTTCGAATCTTGAAAATGACGAGTTTGATATCAATTTATTCTTCATCTCAATTATTTAAATATATAGTTGTATAAAAAAGGGTGAATTGAATATTTTAGGATACGTCACAAACTCAATTGCAAGGTGAGCATTTCTACTAATTAATAAAACACTCATTGTCAACCAAAACCCTATGAAATTATTAGTTTAACCCTCTAATGAAAACATAACATGAATAAGAAATATGGGGTAGATTATCCTATTGTCACCTACATGTAATCCTAACATATCTCTAATTTAAAAAAAAAAAAAAAAAAAAACTACTCACTTGGGTGGGCAAACGGGTAAAGGAACTGCGGGTTGGGGCAGGTACGGGTAGGGTCCTATTTTTTTTGGGAACAAAAAGGCCAGGCCGGGCTGGGCCATTGTTATTTACGGGGCGGGCCAGTTCCTAAACCTTTGAAAAACAGGGCCTCGGACCAACCCGTTTCTAATTATAATCAACGGTCAAGATTGAATGATAATCTATCATCCAATTTGAACCGTTAATTTGTAACCTAGGTTTCCAAATCAGTTTCAGTCTCACAGTCTCACTCTCTCACACAGTCTCGCTCCCACGCCCACCTCTCCACCGCCACTCCCTCGACTTTGACGACATCCTAGAAAATGCCCATCACCGCCGCCGCGACCAACACAATGGCACCACCACCACCCATCTAGCCATCCTCCGACCTCGACGACATCCGTTACTTCGCTGGCTACTGTAAGTCTACTGTTAGTGTCTACTTCTCCGAATTTTATTTTTGTTGATGCGGAGGATCTCAGACTGATTAGTAGCATGAATAATAGGATTGATTAGAGAACTGCGTGCATTTTTCAGATTTGGGGTTTATTTTTATTTTATATTTTTTAATTTAATTTAATTTAATTTTTTTCCTTCTAGTTTTGATTCAAGTAGTCTCCCTGCGTTTTTTAGACTTATGGCCATCGTTTTGATTTAAGTAGTCTCCTTGCATTTTGATTTCATGGAAATTCCTCTTCTCAGCTTTTACTCTGTATCCAGATTGTGTAGATGTTTTTTGAGCTTCTGATTCAGTTTTTTTTTTATTGATTTATAGTGTAGTCGGATTTACGAACGGTTGTTGGAGCTTCTGATTCAGTTTTTTTGTTTGACTGTTGATTGATTTATATGATTTCAATGTCTTGCTAGTTTTAATCACATGTATTTGCTCATATACGTGAGTAGTAACTTATAATAGGTTGCTAACCATAATGCGGTTTTTATGAACCGCTTTATCTATTATATTCTGGAGCTTTTGCTGCAATATGTTTAGATTACCAAATACCTAACTAAGTAGTATCTGTCAATAAATTGGAGACTTGAGTTCTTACTTGACACGGTCGGTAGCATGTTGAATGCTTCAATTGGTATAGGAATGTTTGATATTACAAATAATGTACTTGGCAGATAGCCAATGCTAAATTGGATATATGTCTTAATAATTTCTATTTATCTTTGCAGGTGTTGGTAAGAGTTGCCTTCTTTTGCGTTTCTCAGATGGTTCCTTCACCACTAGTTTCATAACAACCATTGGGTGTGTATTCCCTAGCCTTAGAGTTAATTGTATCTATCATTTGTATACATATGATACGCTTTGAGTGCGGGAGTTCGTGTTTGAATCTCGATATTTCATACTAGAATGCTACTGAAATGCAGGTTGAGGAATTGCCGAATTGGCTTCTCTTGTCAAAGACAATCTTACTTGCAAGCATCTTATTCTCTCAGTGGAAGAGTCCTTGGTGGACTTCCTTCAGAGTGATACCATTACCAGGCATGTAAGACAAACTCCTAAGTGGTATTAGCATTGCCATTTCTTATAAGATTAATTTTAGAGTAAAATATTAAAATTCTATTTTTGCTTACAGATTCAATGAGGATTGTTGTTGGAACTTGGACGTTGGATGTGGTTTTGGATGTTAATTTGGAATTTATTGCGGATGTCATGACTCATGTTTATGTTGTTTTTGGACTTTGGAATTTGGATGTCTTGGACTTTCAGATATTTTGTATGTTCATTTGATTTTAGATGTTGGACGATGTAATATTGTTATTTTGGATGTATTGTTAATCTATGAACTTGGATGTTGGACTTTGTATTTAGTTTGGATGTGAATAATGGTGAATTTGTGCAAAATCTGCATACATGCAATTTGTGACTCTGTGCAGTTGCAATCTGTGCAAATCTGTGCAGTTTGCAATATGTGCAAAATTTTTTATTATTATTTTTTTTTCCTAAAAAAAGAGGGGACATGTGGACTCGGCCTGTTTCAACTGGGCCGGGTAAGGTCCGGTTCCTATATTAGAAAATGTGACCCCCAGGCCCGGCCCGGCCCGACCCGTTTCCTTTGAACCCAGGTCCGGTCCGGTCCCTTCAAAATTAGGCCTGGCTTGGCCCGTGCCCACCCCTACCACATTCTCTATCACTCTCTTCCTCTCTCCTTCTATTTCAAAAACAAAAATAAAAAATTTTCTCATACACTTTGTGTGTGCCCATATGCTAGTATTACTAAATAAAAGATGGGAAATATTATCCTATTGTCCTCAAGCTTCAATGAAATACATAGAAAAGAAATTTCAAAATCCAAATGGCTAATGTCAACTGATAGATGTAGAGGTAAGGCCCCATCACCAAAAAGAAAACAACAACAAAACTTTAAGAAAGCAAATGGAAAATGGTAAGATTTGTGAAGGTGACCTACTGGGAGCAATCATCAGCAGATCAGCAGATAGCAAGGGAGTTTTCATCCATCAGGATGGGGTTGGCCCATAGGGATTTTACAACTTGCAAATCTTCATCAATCATCATCATGCTCCTGCGGATAAAATAAAATGCCACACATCTTCCTTAAGTTTGTGGCAAGCAAATCATATGCATATCTTTATTTGATTTTATGATTTTTCATTTTTATATTTAATTCGAATTTGAATGCATAAAATGAAATTATTATAGCTAAGTTGAATAAATTCATATGCTTTTCTTATATTTTATTTGTTTTATTTGTTTTTAATTAATTGTTAAATTTTGCCTAAAGTGCATGCATATGTAAGTGAAAACAAAGCAATCATGCACTTACTAAACTAGCTTAATTTATTTGCCCACACCCACTTGATTGCCCTCTGTTATTTTCCTTCTTTCCCAAGCAAACTAGTAGCTCTGACACCATATCTCACTCTACATGCATGTCATCTCCCTCTCAAGAAAATAAGACATGCCCTCTCTCACCTAATCCCTCCTCTCCCACCACTAATATAAACCCTCTCTTTTCCTCCAAACTCATATCAGAAATTTGTGTGCAAAATATCAAACACATCCGACCACACTTAAATATGATGATGCAACAGTATCAGCCTCTCTTCTCACTCACACTCCTACTCATCTTCATTTCCCACTCCACCAAAACCCTAGCCCAAGGCCCTGCTGCTGCCCCAGCAATAACCCCCCCTGCGGCCGTTCCGGTACCACCAGCAAGCGCCCCGTCACTCACCAGCCCGGTGGTCGTTCCGGCACCACCAGCCGACGCCCCAGCGCCAACAGGACCAACCAACATCACCAAAATCCTTGAAAAGGCAGGAGGCTTCAACATCTTAATCCGCCTCCTAAAAAGCACCCAAATCGACAAACAGCTCTACAGCCAGCTCAACAACACCAACAGTGAATTGACACTTTTAGCCCCGTCCGACGGCGCCTTCTCAAACCTCGGATCCCTGAACTCCCTCAGCGATGAACAAAAAACCCAGCTCTTGCAATTCCATCTAATCCCAGATTTCATCACTACTCAAAAGTTCCAAACTATAAGCAATCCGGTGAGAACCCAAGCCGGAGACGGTTTGGAGTACCCGCTAAACATCACCACATCAGGCAATGCAGTGAACATTTCAACTGGCCTTGTCAACACTTCAATCTCAGGCACTGTCTATTCTGATGGTCAGCTGGCTATTTACCAAGTTGACAGTGTGCTCCAACCTTACGGTGTTTTTGCTCCCAAGCCTCCCCCGCCAACACCGGCACCAGCACCAGCTCTTGCGGAAGAGAAGCCTAAGAAGAAGCCATCTCATCAAGTCCCTGTTGCTGAAGTGAAGTCTGGTGCTGTGCCTACACTGAATATGCCCAAGATTAATGGCATTGTCTCTATTGGAGTTACATTATTAGCTGCTGCAGCTATGAACTTTTTGTGACGGAATTATTACATTGGTGCCCATTGGAGTTGAATTTGTTTTATACAAGGCGACTCATCGATTCGGATTGAATATGAAGGGTAACGATGGACACGTAAGGTGAGTGGTTTGGAATAATGTTGTGTCCGGTAGACTCATTACCATTGTTATGCATGCCAGTTTGTGATCATATATGAGAGCAATACTGTGTAAATAATGAATCTTATGGGGTTCTTGTACGTAATTTGCATGTTCTTTTGTACTCTATTTGTTGATAATGACCTATTATTACAAATATTTACATTTTTCAATAAATGTTATTCCTTTTCAAATTATGATCAATGAGTAATGACCTCTCATACTACAAAAGTAATGCTAGATAGACCAATCTTTCAGACCAAATTTACAAATAAAAAAAATTATTGAGCAACTATACTAAAATTGTGTCTGAAATGTATACCAAAAAATAATAACATATATAGGTAAATTAATTTATGAAAGAATAATATATATAGCTATATATATTAAGAAACTAAAAGAAGAGAAATCAACTATCAATGATTTCCGGAAGCCATCAAGGTTGACTTTAATCCCGCATTGATTTGACATGCCATGTACTATTCTCATGAAGCATGTAGTTAAACTGATCCAAATAATTAGACGAAGTGGGTACAGTTGGTCATGAACTTTCAAGAAAAGAAAACTACAAAACAATTTAAATATTATAGATGCAAATTTCTTTCTCCTTGATCTTGGACAAAATTGTACCTACAAAACAAATAACACATTTGGTCAAGGCCAAGAGCCTCATGCGCCCACGATGAATGGGGAGGGGGGGGGCGAATAACCTCTGATGCCAAAGTTAGAATTTTGAGAGAAAAATGTTTAGGGAATTTTTGAGTGTTTAGCAAGAGTTAAGACCTAGGTTTTTAGAGGAAATGAGGTTGAATATATAGTGCATGGCCAGTCCCCCTCTTGAGAAAAGGTGGCCGGCCCTTTGGGGTATTTTTGTGTGAAATTGGTGATTTAATTGGTAATTAATGGATTAATTAGAAATAAATCCATTAATTAGCCAATTAACTCAATTTATATGGAATGTTTTGAAGGTTATGAAATAATTACCTTGTGGAAAATATAGGATGAGGATGGATGAAATAACTTTGAATTTGTTACTTATTTTTGGCACTTTTGACTTGATTGTGGGATGTTTGTCCACTGCTCGAGCATTGGAATTTCGGAGTTCCTCAAGGGTAATTTTGTCCATTTTGCCCAAAAATCCACGTGTCGCCTCTTGATTATTTTTGGCTCCACAAATATGTTGAAGGAAAATTTAGAGAGAGAGAGAGAGAGAACTCTTAAGTTGTTAATTGCACATGCTATCTTGTGGCCTTATGTCTTTATTTATACTAATCAAGTTGTTAATTGCACATGCTGTCTTGTGGCCTTATGTTTTTATTTATACTAATCAAGTAAGCTTTAGCAAGTAATACACAATCACATTTCTTAACAATCTTAACTGCAACGAAATACATGTTAAGAGTAATTTTCTCCCTAATTTCTTGCATGCATACGATAAATCCACATCGCTAATCATCAACTAGTTTTTATGTTAGTACTTTTCTTTCTGAATATAGAAGTGTTAGGTTTAAATCTTATATCATTTAATAAATAAAATAAAAGATATAAAAGTTGTATGGGTAGGGGTAAAGTATAAAAAAACTACCTCAACTATTGTTGTCACGACACTTTCATACCTCATCTTTTAAAATTGACAATGTCATACCCCATCTTTAGAATTTGGTCCAATGTTATACCTTCAGTTACTTGGCCGTTTACTTTTCAGTTAAATGCTGACGTGGCTTGATTCGGGACCCACTTTCTATTAAAAAATCATTAAAATATTATTAAAAACTAAAAAAAAAATTAATATTTTTTAAATATTAAAATAATAATAAAAAGTAAAAAAAAAAAAGAAGAAGAAAATAACCCTCAGTTCGTCCCTCTCCTCCCCCTCCCCCATTCTCTCTCTTCTCCCCATCTTCATCTTCTTCCCCCCCCCACCTGCAAACCCCCAAAAAAAAAAAAAAATTTGAAAACCCATCAACCCCCCTGCGGAAGAAGAAGAAGGAGAAGGAGAAGAGGTAGAAGAAGAGGAGGAAGAAAAGGCTTAGGAGGAAGGAAAAAAAAAAAAAAATTTTGAAAACCCATCAACCCTCCTTGCGGAAGAAGAAGAAGGAGAAGGAGGAAGAAGAAGAAGAAGAGGAAAAAAAGGAGAAGGAGGTAGAGGAAGAAGAGGAAGAAAAGGCTCAGGAGGAAGAAAAAAAAAATTTTTTGAAAACCCATCAACCCTCCCTGCGGAAGAAGAAGAAGGAGAAGGAGGAAGAGGAAGAAGAAGGAGAAGGAGGAGGAAGAAGAAGAAGATGAAAAAAAGGAGAAGGAGGAAGAAATTTTTTTTTTTTTTTTTTTTTTGAAAACCATCAACCGCCCCTGCGGAAGAGGAAGAAGAAGAAGGAGAGGAAAAAAAGGAGAAGGAGGAAGAAAAAAAAATATTTTTATGAAAACCCATCAAACCCCAAATCCACCACTCTTATCCATTCTCCACATCCTCTTCCGCACCCATTCTCCACCTTCTTTGCGCACCCATCTTCCCGCGGATGGGATTTGGATTTAAATTTTTTTTTCCTAGGTTGCAGGAGGAAGAAGAGGGGGTGGGGAGGGGGGAAACTGAGTGTGGGTGTGGGGGAAGACAAATTGGAATTGTTATCTTTTTTTTTTTTGGGGGTTTGTAGGTGGGGGAAGAAGATGAAGATGGGGAGAAGAGCGAGGAGGGGGGGAGGGGAGGGACGAAATGAGGGTTTTTTTTATATTTTATTTTATTTAAAAACTTTTTATTATTATTTTAATATTTAAAAATATTAAATAATTTTGTTTTAGTTTTCAATAATATTTTAATGATTTTTTAATAGAAAGTGGGTCCCAAATCAAGCCACGTCAGCATTTAATTGAAAAGTAAACGGCCAAGTAACGGAAGGTATAACATTGGACCAAATTCTAAAGATGAGGTATGAAATTGTCAATTTTAAAAGATAAGGTATGAAAGTGTCGTGACACTAATAGTTGAGGTAGTTTTTTGTATTTTACCCTATGTTTTAATAATGTTGTTCTCGTCCACAAACCTAACGGAATGACATACTACACTGTCAAGTGTCGACTAGAATCACAAGAATTATAGTGGCTCGGTGAGAAAAGCCCATGTCCACTTAAAAAGTATTCATTGAAGTCTTATCTATAGAGCCAAAAGAATGAGCTACATGGAAGAGGATCCTCTCCGGATCTACTTTGTGGGGATCCCTAATCGTTCATTATATATCGTGCGGCCAGTTTTTGGCAGGTATTATTTGTGTTTAATTTTAAATAAAAAAATATCAAATGATTTCTGATCCCACGATACACGATGAATGGTTAAGATGTGAGGATCCTTAGGATCCCCACAATTTGGATATGGATAGGATCCAAATCCAAGCTACATACACCTTGATTACCCTCTGAAATATGAGTACAATCACCAAAACAATTAATTAATATTATGCAATTACTATGACAACTAGTCATATTAACAGTAAACATAAACATGTACATCAATAAATAGAGAATTTCAGAGTTTTGAACGTGCCTCACGCACTGAGAACTAAAGATTTCATAAGCTTGTCTTTGAAACTCACGTTAGGCTCCAAGTGCAGATTAGCCATGTCACGTTCGGCATCCAAATTCGGTCCATTAATCCCACGAATTCTCTTACCAGATTGGGAAGAATCAGCACCATTAGCTCCAAATTCAATTAGTGAAGAAACTAATTATCCACCCATCCCCGAGGACTTCCCATTTGCCTGCCCACCAGGCTCCACTGGCTCCACCACTTTCACAGAGAGAGAAGCACAAACAAGTTAGTCTTCAGGGATGGGTGGATAATTAGTTTCTTCATTGATTGAATTTGGAGCTAATGGTGTTGATTCTTCCTGATCGGGTAAGAGAATTCGTGGGATTAATGGACCGAATTTGGATGCCGAACGTGACATGGCTGATCTGCATTTGGAGCCTAGTGTGAGTTTCAAAGACAAGCTTATGAAATTAACTCGGCGACTTGACTTGGTTGTTGTCACTGATTTTGAGAATTTCAGAGTTTTGAACGTGCCTCACACGCTGAGAACCAAAGACCTAGAAATGATTTGTTCGTGCTTTTCTCTCTGTGAAAGTGGTGGAGCCATTGGAGCCTGGTGGGTAGGCAAAGGGGAAGTCCTCAGGGATGGGTGGATAATTAGTTTCTTCACCGATTGAATTTGGAGGTAATGGTGCTGATTCTTTCCGATCTGGTAAGAGAATTTGTGGGATTAATGGACCAAATTTGGATGCTAAACGTGACATGGCTGATCTGCACTTGGAGCCTAATGTAAGTTTCAAAGACAAGCTTTTGAAATTAACTCGGCGACTTGACTTGGTTTTTGTCACTGATTTTGATTTTGATCCTAGTCTCGTTGGTGGGGATGTTTCCTTCTCTCGTGAGGTGAAAAGGTCTATCGTTACGTTCTCTGGAAAAGTTGTGACGAAATTTGGTAAGGATTGGTATGATGCTCTGGTCATCAAACTTCTTGGGCAATCGCACACTTATAATTTTTTGTTGAACATGCTGAGGCAAAAATGGCAATTAAAAGGAGGTATGCAGCTTATTGACATTGATCATGATTTTTTATATTTTTAAATTTTATTTGAAAGAGGATACGGAGTTTCTTTTAACTAGTGGACCTTGGATAATTGTGGGTCAATATTTGACGATTCAAAAATGGGGACTAGGATTTGTGCCTGCAACTGAGGTTATTACTCGTATGGCGGCATGGGTTAGGATACTGGGTGTTCCAATTTAGTATTTAATGTTTGGGCAATGAGGAAGATAGGTAGTGTGTTGGGAAAATTGTTGAAGATTGATGTAAACACCAACTCTCAGTACAAGGATAAATTTGCTAGAATTTGTGTTGAGATTGATGTGACTAAGCCTCTTGAAGCGTTTATTCAAATTAATAACAGATGGTACAACTTGAAGTACGAGGGCATGCTAGAAATTTGTTTAAGATGTGGTCACTATGGGCATAAAAGGGAGAGCTGTCCTTGGAGCGTTGATCCTATGGTGGAAAAGGTTGATGGTGGTGAAAATTGTGGAGCCAAAAATAATCAAGAGGCAACACGTGGATTTTTAGGTGAAGAGGATAAAATTAGCCTCGAGACACACCGGGTTTCCTACATACAAGCAGTGGAGAATCATA